CTCTCTGCACCTTCAGAAGAGGTGACTGCTGCAAAAACTGGGCTAACACTTCACCAAACTGGTTCCAGGTGCTTCGCCAGTGACTTTCACCCGTTCAGTGGTGGGACTTTCCTTTAAAACATGAGCAGCCAACACGTGCTGCTTGCAGGGTTCACCTTCAGCCTGGAATTTATGATGGTTGGGATGATTGATGTGTGATTCTTAGGTGCCACATCAGAGCAGCATCTTCTGCAGTTACACATCTCCCTGGGTCTGCTGGGTTGAGAATATCGACAAGAACATGACTTGGAGGAAGTGCTGGATCCCGCCATTTCTCTCCTGCCTGCAATTTACCTCTGTTGGGGGCTATTTCTTTCTTCAGCGTCTCTTGAAGTTCTTTCCACATTTCCACACCAGCAGCAATTCAGCAGCACCCTGCTGCCGTTTGTCCAAGGCAGGATTCGGGATAGCCAATGTCCTTCTCCACTTCTCTTGTTGTTGGTTGGCTACTTTGGCTGGGAGATTTCCATCTACTTTGTCACGATTTTCCTCATAAATTGCCGTCAGAACAGGCCAGTTCTTAATAAACAGCTTCAAACTGCCATTGAAAGCCCATTGTACACCTAGGAGGGGACTTCGTTTGAATCCTCCTGCTCTCTTCAGTGACGCTGAAGCAGCGTGGTTGTTCTGGAAATATTTTGCAATTTCAACAACATTTTCCTTGATTCCTGGAGTTGTACTTAAGTCTTTGGCTAAAAGATGCATCACATGAGCCCTGCACCCACAGGTTATAAGTGTCAGGGTTCCCTTCATTATCTTGCTTCTAGATTTCTTCTCATCTTTGCTACATTGGCAGCATTGTCTGGGACAAAGCTACACACCTGACACTTGGTTTTTTGTTCATGGTTTGTTATCACTCTTCCTGCTACTTCTTTTAAGTACTTTGCTGAACGGGCATTTCATGATGTATCAGTTGTTTCTATAAGACAGCCAACCGCATCTTCTGTTGTCACGCAAGCACCTATTACTAGATGATTGTGTACATTGCTTCACCCATCAAGACTCAGATTAACAAATTTCTCATCAATGTTTTTTGCAAACTGTTCAATGCCCTTCTCATGCGCTGTATCCAGCATCTGTTCAGCAGTGGCTGCTCTGCCGGGCGGAGGCAGCCTGCTCAGAGATTGAACCATGGCAATCAAATGTTTGTCCTGAACAAGACGAAAGGGAGAATTTGTTGCCCAAATGAATCGAGCAATCTTTGCATCTGTGGAGTCTTTGTGGAATTTGCTGCTCCTGGTTACAAACTCATCCATAGTTTTACTGGACAATGAAGGCAAGTTTGGTTTGTTGTTTTTTTTAATCCAAGTAATTTACTGCCTGACACTTGTTTACTTAAAAAGAACAGGAGGACTTGTGGCACCTTAGAGACTAACCAATTTATTTGATCATAAGCTTTCGTGAGCTACAGTTCACTTCATCGGATGTAGCTGCATCCAATCAAGTGGGCTGTAGCTCACGAAAGCTTATGCTCAAATAAATTGGTTAGTCTCTAAGGTGCCACGAGTTCTCCTTTTCTATTTGCGAATACAGACTAACATGGCTGCTCCTCTGAAACCTGTTTACTTGCAGCACTGCTGGCGGCACCGGCAGATGACTCTGAAGTTGCAGACAGTGCAGATGATGGACCATTTATGTCTAGGCTGGACCCTGAAACAAAGCGGTAAAAAAGTCACTCTCGCTCACGGAGTATTGTGCCTTGCACTGCTTTGTAAAAAATGAGATTGTATGATAGATTCCTCCTCCTGCAGCTGTTTGCACCACTGTTTAAAAGATATTTACTCTAAATCCAGTGTTATAGGGAAAATAACAAACCATAGGGAATATCTCAATCTGTTTAAAACCTTATCTCTAGCAACACACCAAACAGCTTGGAAAAAATTGTTACCGTTCCTAGATGCCAAATAACCCTTTACTTTTAAACGGGAAATCGTCACCCAGGGTGTTTGATTAGATTGAGCAATAAAAAAAATGACCCTCCGAAGTCCAGCAGTAGTCAATAAATCCTCCCACAACAAAGTAACGTGACAGTTCTATTCGGAACACCAACATTTTGAAATCCCTATGTAAGCAATGCCCTCAAAACACAACCGAATGACCATAATCTACGGTGTCACTTGCTAGGGCGGTAAGGCATGGTAACTAGTATTTGAGAATGATGCAAAAATAAGTTTACTAACCAACTGATCCAGATCAGATCCAGACCAGACATGTTCACAAAGTTGTTCCCTTCTGAGGAGCATTTTTCATGGTGGTTCATTGTGACACGCAGGCCTCGCATCTCTTTGTGGCACAGTTCACGTTTGGCGCATGTTCCCTTTTTACAGGGATTTCTTGACAATATTCCTAAACAGGGTCTCTTTGACAACCTGCAGCCCTTACAGGTTTTTTCCTTCAGCTCCCAGACGTTGAAACTGACCCTGCCTTGACAGCAGCATTGCACATTCTGCTCCCTCTCCCTTGCTACCTAACCCCTCCCACCCCCGCCCCCAGAAACGCACATCACTCCACGACTTCTGCTGGTGTGACCCACATGCCAGTCGCACTGCAGTTTCTGGAGTCAGAGAGGGAGGCTGGCGCGGAAATGAATGGATTTCGGTGTGTTTGCCTCTCTGCCCGTGTATGCTCACAAGGCGACAGAGCGAGGCTCTTTACGTGAAGGGCCCAGATCCAACCAGAAGCAAGGGCTGGCCGTTACCGGCATTCCGTGTTTTTCCATGAGCTGGAGAGTGCGTTTCCATGGTTGTCATAATGTGAGAACGGAGCTAGTCTGACCAGAAGCTATAAACCAGCAGTATGAGATGGCCCAGGTGGGCTCAGAGGATGATCCCAGTGGCGTCTGCTGGCATCAGAGGCCAGGTCTCAACGCCTGGGATGACTTTGCCAGGCTCTTGCACCCCCTAGCACAGTCCCAGGTCACCTTAATACAGCACAGGACCTAGTGTGCCACATTTACAAAGCTCGGCTTCCAAACTTAGATGTCTCGCCCCTCATTCTTTCTTTCTAGAGACAAGCAGCTGTTAGTGCAAAGGTTTTGCTGGAGGCTCATGGATTCAGCCAATTTATTTGTATTGAAATGTTTGAAGAAATTATAACAAGCGTTAGCCCTGAACATATTTCATATGACATTCAGATTGCCTTTGAAACAGGTGTATTTTTAAAAAGAAAAACTTATTGTCATTTCAATAAAATCCAAAAATGTATTTAAATAAAAAATTCCGATTTCTGCCCCCACCCCAATCATCATTTTTTTTCCAGGGGGCTTCATGGCTATTTCCTAGACAGCAGAGGAACAGGGAGACTCAGGACTCCTGGGTTCCATTCTGGGCTCTGATGGGGAGTGTGTCTAGTGGGGATGGACTCTTCTGCCCCCATCCAGTTCTAACCTCTCCCTGTCCTCTTCCACTGCTGTCCCCCACCACACTACATCTCCTGTTCACCCTCCCCCATTCCTCCCCCTTGGCATTAGCCTGGAGGCCTGGAGGGGGAATTGCTGAATGCACGGGACAGACAGTCTCCCTGATCCCAGCACCACAGCAGCCCCAGCCTCTAGGAGGATCAGTTGCAGGTAGGGTGACCAGACAGCAAATGTGAAAAATTGGGACAAGGGGTGGGGGGTAATCGGAGCCTATATAAGAAAAAGACCCAAAAATCGGGACTGTCCCTATAAAATCAGGACATCTGGTCACCCTAGTTGCTGGGAAAGTCCTGCTCCGCTCCTGCAGCCCTGGGATGGAGCATGCTCATTCGCACTGTGGGGCTGGAGCATGCAACATCCAGTCACATGTGAGGGGATAGAGCGCACTCAGGGCAGATGGAATCTTTGGAGAATTTAGCTGCCAAACTCTAACAAGTCTCCACTGAGCATGTGTGAACTGAGATTTTAGGGGCTCATCAAATGGCCAACTTTAAGTGAATTTGCATGGGGATGGCAAAAGGCACCTCACTGATCCAAGGGCAACCTCCCCCTGCCAAATTTCAAGTTCTTCCTCCAAAGCATGGAGGTGTTAGAGCTTCTCGACATTTTTGACATGTGCAAAGCCATGTATTTCCCCGCCAGTCTCGGTCTTGGAAACAGCAGAACCATTTTAGCTGAAACTTTCCAAATCAGTTCAGCCTGTGGCAGACCCTGGCCTGGAAAATTTCAACCCTGAAAGTTTAAGTTTGCAAAGTTATACACAACTGAAAACAGGGGTTCGTAATGGGAAGTATCAGACCACCTTAATGATAGGTGTCGCTGCTTGTTCCACCTAAAACAGCTCCAGTGAGAATTCCTACACATCACCCATTTAACACACACCCTTATCCCTTGGATCTGCTCTGTCCAACAATCTCAGATCTAATCTATGTTTGTTTGGTTTGCCTGTGCAGCACCTAATCTCGGACCAGGGCTCTGAGGTGCTACCAGAATATATCTTTGGGTGAGGCTGGTGCCAGGAAAGCCAGGGCCTGTGCCATCCCTGGGGACGAACAGAGGCTGTTAGCAGTGCCACCAATACCTAGGGAGCATAGATCCCGAGCCAGGCTAAACAAATCAGGAGATTTTGCTTTCCGGGGTTCGAGCCATTGGGCTCATGTTGGGGGTCACATTTTCTCCCCAGCCATGAGAGACAGAAACTTACTTACTTTTTAATAAAATGCCAGTGGAGATTCTCTTGTCATCCTGTGACTCTAGGAGCTGTGGCTTGAAGGAAAACAGCCAATATCGCGAGCCCCGTGATGGAATCACAGGTGTTGGTGACCCTGGTTGGGCTCCAGGAATCTCACTTGTTAGCAGCCCAAAGTTTGCTAAAAATCTCATTGATCCATGGAGTCTAAGGCTGGGAGACAGTGCGATGCGTCTGGTGCCTGCAGGACCCCGGCCAGAGAACATCCCTGGGGGTTCTGCACACAGCCTGATCTCTCGGGGCTGAGCCAGTGCGCGTAACCAGCTGCGGTACATGGCCCCTAAGTAATACCAGGCCTCCCCTGGCCTGCCTGGGGCTGGCTTTGTCTCTTGGCAGGGCACGGCGGGTTGAACCAGCTGGGCGGGGCCTTTGTGAATGGCCGCCCCCTGCCAGAAGTGGTCAGGCAGCGCATCGTGGACCTGGCTCACCAGGGCGTGCGGCCCTGCGACATCTCCCGCCAGCTGCGGGTCAGCCATGGCTGCGTCAGCAAAATCCTGGGCAGGTAAGCGCAGAAGCGGGAGATGTTTGCTGGCTGGCAGTGGAGCTGGGACGCGGCCTCACAGTCTCCTGGCCAGTCACACCCAGCTTCCCAGCAGATCCCAGCAGAGTCCCCCCAGCTTGCCCTCCATGGGAGGAGCCGGGCCAGGGGCTGTTACAGGCGGCACAGCTCACCATCCAGTCTGGGAACAGTCCTGCTGCAAAGAGCTCAGCCAGGGTAACTAGAATCTGCCTGGGCAGAGCTAAGTGGGCACAAAGGTTGGTCTAGTGGCTAGGGCACTGTCTGGTGCTCAAGAGCCCAGGGTTCAATTCCTGGCTCTGCCCCCGATCCCATGTGACCTTGGGCCTGTCCCTGTAGTTCTGCATGCCTCAGTTTCCCGTCTGTCAATGAAGACAATGATCTCAGGGCCTACACTTGGCTGGGGTCCTCTTGGGCAAGCAGCTCTCGGCATGGAGGGACAGGACTCTCTGCTCAAACAGCTCCAGAAACTATGGTCTCTGGCCATCCCTGCACCTGGCTCCCAGCAAGGCTAGTTGGCTGGCGCAGAGTGGCTGGGAAACCCCCACCTCCACACAGGAGCCAGCGGTTGCTGCCACGGGTGGTGGGCTCAGGGGTGGATGGTGCCAGGAGTTTGGTAGAGTAGCATGAATGGGTTCTTCACCCCAATATTCAGTACATCCCCTGCCACCGGTTAGTCTCCGAAGTGCTTGTGAGTTACCATGCAGCGTGCCCTAGGCTGGGGACAGTCCTGCCGAGCTGGGGGTGGCTTGGGAGGGACTGTATGGGGAGGGTCATTTGTTTGCAATAAGTAATTCAACCAGCCCCAGCCCAGGGTCCCAAAGTGGCACCAGACACCACTGTGGTGGGCACAGTAGGAACGGATGGCTGGAGGAAGTGGGACATGCCTGATCAGGTAACAGCTTGATATAGTTCCCCGAGGCTGGACACCCTCTGACTATTTACAAAGACCCCATCGGAGACTGGGGTGATGCCCTGTTACCTCTCCGTGCCTCAGTTTCCCCATCTGGGGCTAAAGGCACTCAGTGAGCCGGGAGGAACCAGCTGTTCATTTCACGCTGAGCGATTGCAGTACTGTGCTGAAAGACGAGCCCCTGGCTCAGTCCATAGGGAGGGAGGTATCACAGCATAGACCCCCCAAGCGCTCATACTCCAGCAGCGCCCGCCCTCCACTTCCCTCGCTTTACCCGGTAACCCTCTTGCTTTCTCTATTGGAGTAGGTACTACGAAACTGGCAGCATCCGGCCCGGCGTGATCGGCGGCTCCAAGCCCAAGGTGGCCACCCCCAAGGTGGTGGAGAAGATTGGGGACTATAAGCGGCAGAACCCCACCATGTTTGCCTGGGAGATCCGCGACCGCCTTTTGGCCGAGGGCGTCTGTGACAACGACACCGTGCCCAGTGTCAGCTCCATTAACAGGTTGGAGGTGGCAAGGGTCCGGCCCTGGGGGATCCCCACCCATCTCCCCTAGATGTAGCCAATCCTGTCCCCTTCCATCTCCCAGGAACCCCTCCTATCCGTCGGGGATCCCCCCACTCTCATTTAGTTGGGACCCCAGTGGACATAGTGTACTTAGATTTCCAGAAAGCCTTTGACAAGTTCCCTCACCAAAGGCTCTTATGTAAATTAAGTTGTCATGGGATAAGAGGGAAGATCCTTTCATGTATTGAGAACTGGTTAAAAGACAGGGAACAAAGGGTAGGAATAAATGGTAAATTTTCAGAATGGAGAGGGGTAACGAGTGGTGTTCCCCAAGGGTCAGTCCTAGGACCAATCCTATTCAACTTCTTTATAAATGATCTGGAGAAAGGGGAAAACAGTGAGGTGGCAAAGTTTGCAGATGATACTAAACTGGTCAAGATAGTTAAGACCAAAGCAGACTGTGAAGAACTTCAAAAAGATCTCACAAAACTAAGTGACTGGGTAACAAACTGGCAAATGCAATTTAATGTGGATAAATGTAAAGTAATGCACATTGGAAAAAATAACCCCGACCATACATACAATATGATGGGGGCTAATGTAGCTACAAGTAATCAGGAGAAAGATCTGGGAGTCATCATGGATAGTTCTCTGAAGAGTCCATGCAGTGTGCAGCGGCCGTCAAAAAAGCAAACGGGATGTTAGGAATCGTTAAAAAAGGGATAGAGAATAAGACGGAGAATATCTTATTGCCCTTATATAAATCCATGGAACGCCCACATCTTGAATACTGCCGACAGATGTGGTCCCCTCATCTCAAAACAGATATACTGGCATTAGAAAAGGTTCAGCTCATGAAAGCTTATGCTCAGATAAATTGGTTAGTCTCTAAGGTGCCACAAGTCCTCCTGTTCTTTTTGCGAATACAGACTAACACGGCTGCTACTCTGAAACCATTCAGAGAAGGGCAACTAAAATGATTAGGGGTTTGGAATGGGTCCCATATGAGGAGAGATTAAAGAGGCTAGAACTTTTCAGCTTGGAAAAGAGGAGACTAAGGGGGGATGTGATAGAGGTTTATAAAATCATGAGTGGTGTGGAGAAAGTGAATAAGGAAAAGTTATTTACTTGTTCCAATAATATAAGAACTAGGGGCCACCAAATGAAATGAATGGGCAGCAGGTTTAAAACAAATAAAAGGAAGTTCTTCTTCACTCAGCGCACAGTCAACCTGTGGAACTCCTTGCCTGAGGAGGTTGTGAAGGTTAGGACTATAACAGGGTTTAAAAGAGAACTGGATAAATTCATGGAGGTTAAGTCCATTAATGGCTATTAGCCAGGATGAGTAAGGAATGGTGTCCCTAGCCTCTGTTTGTCAGAGGGTGGAGATGGATGGCAGGAGAGAGATCATTTCATCATTACCTGGTAGGTTCACTCCCTCTGGGGCACCTGGTATTGGCCACTGTCGGTAGACAGGATACTGGGCTGGATGGACCTTTGGTCTGACCCAGTCTGGCCATTCTTATATTCTTATGTTCTTATGACCCCCATCCCCTGGGAAAGGCAAGGAGGTGCCCAACACGGGTCCGGTGGAGTTATTAGGCCTTGGTACCACTTAAATCCCACAAAGCCTGGACACCATTTCAGTCCTGCTCCCTTTCCCCTCTCTGTGCCTCGGTTTCCCCATCTGGAACGTGGGGCTAAAATACTTTGCGATGCCCCACAGGCAAAGTGGGACTGAAGTGGTACCTAGGACTTTGCCCAGGGATGAATCTCTCCCCAGTCTGTGCTAGGAACCACTCCCCGAAGTCCAGGGGACCTGCCTCCAGCTTCCTTCTGGACAGGAGTCGGTCCAGCCAGTCTGTGCTGGAGCAGCCCCGGCTCTCACACTGGGCATGCCCACGCCCAGGGCCTGCCATTTAATTTTTCTGATACCCTTTTTCCCCATCAGAATCATCCGGACCAAAGTCCAGCAGCCATTCAACCTCCCGATGGACAACTGCGCGGCCTCCAAAGCCCTGAGCCCCGGGCACAGCCTGAGTGAGTCTCAAAACTTGAGTTTTCAACAAAATGGAATTTTTCATGAAAAGCGTCAGTTTCCTGCAGAAAAATCTAGATTTTTTTAAATAAAAAACCCCAAATGCTCCCAAACTGAAATGTTTCAATTCAGAAATGTGCCCTGGTGCCTCATGGGAGTTGTAGTTCATTGCCCCATATCACTGTTTTCCTTTATGGGCTGGGCTTCTTGGCTGGGGCCATCCCCCATGATGCACCATAGCCAGGGACTCCCAGCTGCCATGCTTCTGTGGTGCACCATGGGAGATGTAGTCTCACCCCGGATCCTGGCTTATAGAGGAGAACAGGGACTCAAGGCACCCAAACTATAACTCCCAGAAGGCACTGCAGCAGCATTGCCAAATAAAACATTTTCTGTTTTTTCCTGAATTTTTTTAGTATTTGAATTTCCACCAAAAAATGGAAATTTTCTGTGGAAAATGCCCTCCATTTTTGACCACCCTGTGCTATTGCCCCAGACAGGGAAACGGGCACAGAGAAGGGACGGGTCACAGAGCCAGCTGCCGTCAGGCTTGGAGCGCCCAGAGTCCCCGGTGCACCAGGCACATCTGCAAGGGATGATTCCCCTGGGTGGCCTGGGATACCCAGCCTTGCCCCTGTCCTCGGGGCGCGTGGCACGACCCAGCGCCATGGGGCGAGGTGTCCTGGCGTCGTGCCCACCCCCTCTCCTGGTGCTTGCTCCAGGACTTACTGACCCGGCGGGGGTTGTTTTCAGTCCCCAGCTCGGCCGTGACCCCCCCGGAGTCACCCCAGTCGGACTCGCTGGGCTCCACCTACTCCATCAGTGGGCTCCTGGGCATCGCCCAGGCCAGCAGCGACAACAAGAGGAAGCTGGACGACAGTGAGTGGGGGTGGGACGGTGCTGGGGGGGGCTTCTCTGGGGCTGGGCTGGCAGCAGATGGGGACAGAGGAGTCCGGCGTCTTAGCCCCGGGGTGGGTGCGAACACCCCGTGAGGGCGACAGAGACCGGGCCAGGGCTGCTCCTACCAGCCCCCCCGGGGGAGGCGGCGCTGAGACCGGCGGGGCCCAGGGCAGCTCCCACGCGGCGGGTCTCAGTCTGCCATGCCCAGCCCAGGGCCCAGCAGGCAGCGATGCCCTCTGTGGTGTCATCACGCTGCTGGGTGGTGCCCGGGCATCCCTGGGGCAGCTGGGCCAGGCCTGGAGGAGCTATGGGCTGGCTGGGGGGCAGGACCTTGCCCGTGGTCGGGGGGCCAGTCGGGGATCGGGCCGTGCCTGTGGCTGGTTGGGGGGGGGGCGGTCGGGGATCAGGCCATGCCCGTGGCTGGGGGGCCAGTCGGGGATCGGGCCGGGCCCGTGGCCGGTTGTGGGGGGGCTGGTCGGGGATCAGGCCATGTGTGGCTGGGGGGCCAGTCGGGGATCAGGCCGTGCCCGTGGCTGGTTGTGGGATCAGGTCATGCCCGCCCGTTGGAGCGGGGTCTCATGGCTGCTCTGCCCGGCAGGCGACCCGGAAAGCTGCCGGCTCAGGATGGACACCCAGAGCGGCCCCCGTGCTGCCCGCAAGCAGCTGCGCTCCGAGGCCTTCGGCCAGCCCCCCCTGGAGCCACTGGAGTGCCCCTTCGAGCGGCAGCACTTCCCCGAGGCCTACGCCTCCCCCAGCCATGCCAAGGGCGAGCAGGTCCGGGTCATGCCCATCGCTCTGGGGGATGAGCAGTATTGGGAGGTCCCAGCCGGGGGGGAGCAGTATTGGGAGGTCCCAGCGGGGGGGGGAGCAGTATTGGGGGTCCCAGTGCGGGGGGAGCAGTATTGGGAGGTCCCAGCGGGGGGGAGGGGAGCAGTATTGGGGGCTTTCCCAGTGGGGGGGAAGCAGTATTGGGGGTCCCAGTGGGGTCTGAGCAGTATTGGGGGTCCCAGTGGGGGGTGAGCAGTATTGGGAGGGTCCCAGCGGGGAGGGGGTGTTGAGCAGTATTACGGGGTTTGTACTGGGGGTTCTAGTGGGGGGGAGCAGTACTGGAGGGTTCCAGCGGGGGGGTGTGATCAGTATGGTGGGCCCTCTGGGGTGAGCGGTACTGGGGGCCCCAGGGTGGGTGAGCGGTATTGGGGAGGGTCCTCGCAGGAGGTGAGTAGTACTGGGAGGTCCCAGTGGTGGGTGAGCAGCATTGGGGGGGTTCCCAGTGGGGGGGCTGAACAGTACTGGGGGTCCCAGCTGGGGGGTGAGAAGTATTGGAGGTTCTCAGGGGGGCTGAGCAGTACTGGAGGTCCCAGCTGGGGGGGATGACCAGTACTGGGGGCTCCCCTGGGGGGTGAGCAGTATGAGGGTCTTAGGAGGACTCGGGGGGCTGAACCTTACTAGGGGTCACTGACCTTTCTGTTGCCCCCTCCCCCAGGGTCTCTACCCACTGCCCCTGCTGAGCAGTGCACTGGATGACGGCAAAGCCGCACTGACCCCCTCCAACACGCCACTCGGCCGCGGCCTGGCCGCCCCCCAGCCATACGCGACCGTGACAGGTAAAGGCTGCCCCTCGAGGCTTGCCCCCCACAGCCGGGGGAGTCAAGGGCAGGCTGGGGCTGGCGTGGGTGTGAAGAGATGTCAGGGCCAGGGGCTACAGGACCAGCACCCACCGGGACCCTGCTGCCTGGGGGACCCTGCGGGAGGTGCTCGCAACTGCCCCCGCCCTGCATCCCCCAGGGAAATGAACCTCTGGGGAAGGCAAATAGGGAGATGGAATTTCTGTTGGGACCTTACTCCTACCCCGGACAGCACAGCCCTGCCCCCACCGCGCACACACAGTGACCCCCACTGCACAGCCCTGCCCCACTGCACAGCCCTGCCCCCACTGCAAACACACAGTGACCCCCACTGCACAGCCCTGCCCCACTGCACAGCCCTGCCCCCACCGCGCACACACAGTGACCCCCAATCCACAGCCCTGCCCCACTGCACACAAACAGAGACCCCCACTGCACAGCCCTGCTCCACTGCACAGCCCTGCCCCCACTGCACATACACAGTGACCCCCATTGCACAGTCCTGCCCGCACCGCGCACACACAGTGACCCCCAATCCACAGCTATGCCCCACTGCACAGCCCTGCCCCCACCGCGCACACACAATGACCCCCACTGCACAGTCCTGCCCACACTGCACACACACACTGACCCCCCAATCCACAGCTCTGCCCCACTGCACAGCCCTGCCCCCACCGCGCACACACAGTGACCCCCACTGCACAGCCCTGCCCCCCACTGCACACACACAGTGACCCCCAATCCACAGCCCTGCCCCACTGCACAGCCCTGCCCCCACTGCAAAGACACAGTGACCCCCACTGCACAGCCCTGCCCCCCACTGCACACACACAGTGACCCCCAATCCACAGCCCTGCCCCATTGTACAGCCCTGCCCACACCGCACACTCACAGTGACCCTCACTGCACAGCCCTGCCCCACTTCACACACACAGTGACTCCCAATCCACAGCCCTGCCCCATTGTACAGCCCTGCCCACACCGCACACACACAGTGACCACCAATCCACAGCCCTGCCCCATTGCACAGCCCTGCCCGCACCGCACACAAACAGAGACCCCCACTGCACATCCCTGCTCCACTGCACAGCCCTGCCTCCATTACACACACAGTGACCCCCCACTGCACAGCCCTGCCCCCCACTGCACAGCCCTGCCCGCACCGCACACACACAGTGTCCCCCACTGCACAGCCCTGCCTGCACCGTGCACACACAGTGACCCCCAATCCACAGCCCTGCCCCACTGCACAGCCCTGCCCCCACCGCACACACACAGTGACCCCCACTGCACAGCCCTGCCCCACTGCACACATACAGTGACCCCCAATCCACAGCCCTTCCCGCACCGCGCACACACAGTGACCCCCACTGCACAGCCCTGCCCCCCACCGCACACACACAGTGACCCCCAATCCACAGCCCTGCCCCACTGCACAGCCCTGCCCCCACTGCAAAGACACAGTGACCCCCACTGCACAGCCCTGCCCCCCACTGCACACACACAGTGACCCCCAATCCACAGCCCTGCCCCATTGTACAGCCCTGCCCACACCGCACACTCACAGTGACCCCCACTGCACAGCCCTGCCCCACTTCACACACACAGTGACCCCCAATCCACAGCCCTGCCCCATTGTACAGCCCTGCCCACACCGCACACACACAGTGACCACCAATCCACAGCCCTGCCCCATTGCACAGCCCTGCCCGCACCGCACACAAACAGAGACCCCCACTGCACATCCCTGCTCCACTGCACAGCCCTGCCTCCATTACACACACAGTGACCCCCCACTGCACAGCCCTGCCCCCCACTGCACAGCCCTGCCCGCACCGCGCACACACACAGTGTCCCCCACTGCACAGCCCTGCCTGCACCGTGCACACACAGTGACCCCCAATCCACAGCCCTGCCCCACTGCACAGCCCTGCCCCCACCGCACACACACAGTGACCCCCACTGCACAGCCCTGCCCCACTGCACACATACAGTGACCCCCAATCCACAGCCCTTCCCGCACCGCGCACACACAGTGACCCCCACTGCACAGCCCTGCCCCCACCGCACACACACAGTGACCCCCACTGCACAGCCCTGCCCCCACTGCACACACACAGTGACCCCCAATCCACAGCCCTGCCCCACTGCACAGCCCTGCCCCCACCGCACACACACAGTGACCCCCACTGCACAGCCCTGCCCCACTGCACACATACAGTGACCCCCAATCCACAGCCCTTCCCGCACCGCGCACACACAGTGACCCCCACTGCACAGCCCTGCCCCACTGCACAGCCCTGCCCCCACTGCACACACACAGTGACCCCCACTGCACAGCCCTGCCCCCCACTGCATGGCACTATGCACCCGCCCGCCACGACATTGCACTGACGCCCCCTCCTGCCCCACCCTGGTACAGCCTCACCAGCGCCAGTACATGGCCCTGCCCCTCCCACTGCGCAGCACTGCCATTCCCCTTTCCCTCCCCTCCCTTTGGCCAGCCTTCTGCTGCCCAGCCCCTCCTCCTCTGCTCCACCAGTGGGCCGGGGTGGGGTGGGGAGTGTGGGGAAGGGCAGGGGATCCAGTGCCCCCTTTGTGATCCCACACCCTGGCTCCAGATCCCAGGCACCGGCCCTGTGATCATTTCAGCCCATTTTCATTTCATCTCCTGTCTCTTTTTTTTTTCACCATCCCCCTCCCCCCAGACCCTCACTCCCCTTTCCTTGTAAAGCAGGAGACCCACGGGGCCTCCAGCCCGAGCGCCACCCCTTCCTCTTTATCTAGCACCGCCTTTTCGGACCTGCAGCCCGGGCCGCCCTTCAGCGCCTTCCCCCACTGCTCCGCCATCTACGGCCACTTTCCTGGCCAGGGCCTCGTCCCAGGTATGGCTGTGGTGCAGCAGGGGCTGTTGGCAGCGGCTGGCATCTAGCAATGCAGGGACAATCCCCGGGGTTCTAGGCTGACAGCCCTTCCTCTGACCTGAGCTGCAAGACTCACTCGAGAGCCCAGCTGGCAAATCAGGTTCTGGACCCCCTCTCCAGACCCCAGTTTATAGGAGGACATTTCCTTCCAGCAGCTGGTTAGAGATTTGGGTTCCAGGCTCCTCCTGGCAGCTGTCTGTGGGCATGGGTTCTAGACTCACTTGTGGGTCAAGTGGGAGTTTGGGTCTGTGGATTCCCCTCGGAGAAGGCAGCTCAAGTGTGGGTTCTGGAGTGTTTTAGACCTGGGCAGAATTTATGCGAAGCCAGGTTCTAGCCTCCCTCCAGAACCCAGCAGGCCAGTGTGTTCTGGGTTCCCTCAAGAGCCCAGGCAGGGGCAGGTTCTGGAGTCTGGCTCGCGCTGGGGTCTGGACCCAGGGACAACTGGGTTCTGGGCTCCCTGCTGGAGCTGGGCAGCAGTTCTGGACCGTGCCCCGCACAGAACCATTGAGCTTCTACTTTAGCCCAGCCCACTGGTGTCCTGTTCATAGTCCAGGAACCCCTTAGCCGCGGGATCTGAACATGGGCGGGTCCTTCCCCCCTCCACCTTGGCTTGAGACCAAAGGTGCATTTCCTGTCCCCGCCCTCCTCAATTGTCCTTTTGTTGGGCTGAGGGCTCTGGCTGGGGGCCAGATGGGCTGGAGTTCAAACACTGCTGCCGTGCCCTCCCCAGCCAGACCCGGGGGGAGCCCTGCCCGGGCTCTCAGATGCCTCCCCGCTCCATCTGCCCTCCCACAGCTTGCCTCCTCAGCCCCCGGCCGGCTAACAGGGCTCGCCACTCTGCTGTGTGTCCCCCGCCCCGAACTGCTCTTGGAGAATGGGGATTCTCCAGAGACAGGGATTTGAGTGGCCCAGCAGAGGGGCAGCTGCCTGGCCCCAGGGTTAGGCCCCCTCCTGGGATTAGAACACCAGGCTCTGAGGCCTCCCAAGATTTGGGGCAGTTTGGGCCATTAGCTGGGAGCAGGGGCGGCAGCACTGGACCCACCCTCCGGCGGTTTTGTCTTGCGTGGGGCCAGTCCCAGCTGCTCCAGAGGAAGGTTCCAGGGCCCTCCCCTGCACCCCAAGTGGGCAGTGGGTAGTTCAGGAATCACCTGCTCCCAGGGGATGTTTCTCCCTGACACCATCAGGCCATGGCTGGCTCGTGCCCTGGGGCAGAAGGGGTTAGATCCCAGCTAATGGAGGTGGGCCTGTGCCCATTTATCCATCAGTGTCTCCTCTGCTTTGGAACCCTCCTGGCCCCAATGCTCCCCAGTGGCAAGGAGTTCCACAGGCTAACTGCATTTGCCACATGCACTTTCAGGCTATGGACTGGGATTGTGATACTCCCCTTCTCCTCCCCCCACCATGGGGGCTTGGTTCTGGGGTTCTGATCCAGTCCACGGGGTGGAGGGCAGGGTCGGAGAAGGCCACTAGAGAGCAGGGGGACCTGCAGAGCTGACTCCAGCCCAGGAGGCCTCCCCCTCGGCCACAGGAGAGGAAATTGCTGGGTCTCAGCTCGGGAGGGTGGTGGGAAGGAGCTCAGGCTGCAGGCCGCCTGCCAGCTGTGCCGATACCTGAGGGAGGGGCACTACAGACAGGGGAGCACCCCAGAGATCCAGGAATTGGGGCGGGCGGAGGGTTACAGGCCTTGGCTAGCGACAGAGCTACAGACTGAGGACTGGATCCCCTGGCCCTCCCATGGCAGCTACGTCGCCATCTCAGAGCCGGCCCCCTCCTTGCGCCCGCCTGCCCTGACCCCCCCGCCTCTTCAGCAGCCTGGTCCCAGAGGGTAGCAACCCTAGCTGGTGGAGGCCAGGGCAGGTTGGGCACCCAAACCCTTAGGCCACCTGCACTGGCAGGTCGGGCGGCTGGTGGGGCGGGCACAGACACAGAGAGCTCTTGAGCAACACAGCTAGGCAGGGCTGCCCAGAGCCCTCCAGGCACTCGCCTCAGCCTGGTGCTTAGGGCACAGAGCTTGGCCACAGGACACCGGGGTTCAAGGCCTGGCTCTGCCACCGACTCCCTGGGGGACCTTGGGTAAATCCCTGCCACGCCCTGTGCCTCAGTTTCCCCAGCTGTAGAAACGGGATAATCATCCTCTGAAGTTTGTTTAGACTGTTGGCTCTAGCACCAGGTCAGTGTGGCAATGGGGCCCTGATCTTGGTCGGGGTCTAGGCAACACCTGGCCACAACAGGGCCTGATCTTGGTTGAGGCTTCCAGGTGCTACCATAATAGAAATCATGATGTAAAAACGTGGCCTTCGAGCTCCCGGCCTGGAGCATTTTGGCCGTGCTCACTAGCCCCTTGTGTCCATGCCCATCCCAGCCACCTTTCACTGCTGCTGCGGGTCACCGTGCACTCCATGTTTCCCATGCATTCTTCACCGACGCTCAGGCTGGTGGGGTCATCGCCAGAGCGCAGGGCTGGGACAGGGGGTGCAGGAGGCTCAGACAGGGATTTAGGCTCTTGCCAGTGCCAAAGTAGAAGAGGGTTAGAAAGACAAGGGACGGTTGCCCAGTATGGGAGGCGGGGGTGTAGCACTGTCCAGTTAAACCCTTAGCACCCGTCTGGCCTGGGGAACATGGTAGGTTCAGCGGGGCTTCCACCTGCTCGATGAGCTCCAGCCAGAGCTGCCTGGATCCGTAAGAGAGGGGCAAGAGGAGTGGGGAGCCGGGCCGGGGGGTCTGCCCGGAGATCAGACCAGCAGCTCCTGGGGCTGGAGAACAGCGTCAACACCCTGGACCCTAGAGACCCCTGAGGGATGGGAGTGCGGTGGCCCACAGTCACCAACAGGGATCTGGGGCTGCAGGAAATGGAGAGGAGACAGAGAGGAAGAGCTCCCCAGGGAGATCCCCAGGTCAGTATGGTACTAGATCTTCAGACAGATCCCCAGGTCACAAAGGTACTAGCTCTTCAGACAGATCCCACAGGTCACTAAGGTACTAGATCCCCCCAGGGAGATCCCCAGGTCAGTAAGGTACTAGATCCCCCAGGGAGATCCCCAGGCCAGTATGGTACTAGATCTTCAGACAGATCCCACAGGTCACTAAGGTACTAGATCCCCAATACCTGGGAGATCCCCAGATCACAAAGGTACTAGATCTTCAGGCAGATCTCCCAGGTCAGTAAGGTGCTAGATCCCCAGGCAGATCCCTCAGGGAGATCCTGTAGGTGGGTAGAGCCCCAGATATAGCAACCCCCCAGATAGGTAGGGAGATCCCCAGGGAGATCCCTCCAGTAGGTAGAAGGATCACACCTGCAGATCCCTAGGCAGATCTCCAGCTAGGTAGCTGCATTCTGCCTGGCTCCCTGGCAGGCTAATCCCAGGATCAGGCCCCCGGGCCAGGGTCCAGCTGGGCTGGGGGCTGCTTTCGGGGCTGCCTCCTACCTCCATGTCCCACCTTACACCTCCTATCCCTTCTCCCTTGCAGGGCGCGAGATGGTTGGTTCCACCCTGCCTGGCTACCCCCCGCACATCCCCACCGGTGGGCAGGGCAGCTATGCCTCCTCCGCCGTTGCCGGCATGGTGGCAGGTAGGGCCATGAGGAGCTCGGGGGTGCTGCAGGACCTGGGCGGCAGGAGGAGGGGGCAGCAGGTGCTGTGCCACAGGGCAGCTGCACTAGGGGAAGCTCCGGGGTAGTTAGCAGGCAGCCCCTCAGGTGCCATTCAGCTCCCAACGGAAGGGCAGGCCTGCGGGTCAGGATTGAGGAGCAGAGCTGGGGGTGGGAGAGCCTGGGCTCAGGGACACAGTGTATGGGGTTATTAGAACAGGTGGGGTGATTAGAAGGCAGGACTCCTGGCTTCTGTCCCTAGCTCTGGGAGGGGAGTGGGGTCTAGTGATTAGAGCAGGGGAGTTGGGAGCCTGGACTCCTGGGTTCTTTTGCCAGATCAGTTTTGCAGCTGACCTTGTCTGTAATCGGCTGAACCAAAACTCAGGATCCACCCCCGCATCAGATCTAGCTGTGAGTTTTGGCTCTGGGGACCTGGGAAGAGTTGTGGCGGGGTTGGGGGGGCTGTCTGTGTGAGCAGAGCAGGTGGACTCCCCCCGCCCGTACCACCCTGATGCTAAGAAATGCGGTGAGGGGGACAGGCTCTGGGAACCAGCCAGACCCTGATCCCCCTGCCACACCCCACACCCACTCCCCGGTGCTGCAGCCGGCTGTTCCCTGCGAAGGGTTAATCTCTGTAGGCCATGGCCCAGGTAGCTGCATGGCTCCCCTGGGCCGGGAACATGCTGAACTGGCTTGTTGCCCGTTACCCTGGAGATGTGCTTAATGCAGCGTTGAGAATCCAGCGCTGCACCCGGGCCTCCACGGCCCCTCTCCTCGAGCGTGAAATGAGATTGGAGAGCACAGGGCGGGGGGACTCGGGACTGGGTTAGACAGTGTGTGCTGGGGGCTCCGCCAGCCACCCGCAGCCCGCCTGGCCCCGGCCTGCTGAGCAAGGCAAGAAACTCGACCTTCTCGCTCGCTCGCGGCTACCTCCGTCCCCAGCTGGTGCCAACTGGGCCTGCAGGCCAGCGAAACACTGCGCATAGACCGACTGGCCACAGTGTTTGGCAGGGCCAGTCAGTATGTCCATCTGCATCTATCTATCTGTCCTCATCCACCCCATCTATCTATCCATCCCCATCCACCCCGTCTATCTATCTATCCCCATCCCTCCGTCTATCTATCTGTCCTCATCCACCCCGTCTATCTATCCATCCCCACCCCCCGTCTACCTATCTATCCATCCCCATCCACCCTGTCTATCTATCCATCCCCATCCACCCCGTCTGTCTATCTATCCCCATCCCCCCGTCTACCTATCTATCCATCCCTATCCACCCCGTCTATCTATCCATCCCCATCCCCCCGTCTACCTATCTGTCCTCATCCACCCCATCTATCTATCCATCCCCATCCCCCCGTCTACCTATCTATCCATCCCTATCCACCCCGTCTATCTATCTATCCCCATCCCTCCGTCTATCTATCTGTCCTCATCCACCCCGTCTATCCATCCCCATCCCACCGTCTATCTATCTATCCATCCTCATCCACCCCGTCTATCTATCTGTCCTCATCCACCCCGTCTATCCATCCCCATCCCCCCGTCTACCTATCTATCCATCCCCATCCCCCCGTCTACCTATCTATCCATCCCTATCCACCCCGTCTATCTATCTATCCCCATCCCTCCGTCTATCTATCTGTCCTCATCCACCCCGTCTATCCATCCCCATCCCACCGTCTATCTATCTATCCATCCTCATCCACCCCGTCTATCTATCTGTCCTCATCCACCCCGTCTATCCATCCCCATCCCACCGTCTATCTATCTATCCATCCCCATCCACCCTGTCTATCTATCTGTCCTCATCCACCCCGTCTATCTATCCATCCCCATCCCCCCGTCTACCTATCTATCATCCCTATCCACCCCGTCTATCTATCTATCCCCATCCCCCCGTCTATCTATCTATCCCCATCCCTCCATCTATCTATCTGTCCTCATCCACCCCGTCTATCCATCCCCATCCCACCGTCTATCTATCTATCCACCCCCATCCCCCCGTCTCTCTATCTATCCGTCCCCATCCCCCCGTCTCTCTATCTATCCACCCCCATCCCTCCGTCTATCTATCTGTCCTCATCCACCCCGTCTATCTATCCGTCCCCATCCCCCCGTCTCTCTATCTGTCCTCATCCACCCCGTCTATCTATCCATCCCCATCCCCCGTCTACCTATCTATCCATCCCCATCCACCCTGTCTATCTATCCATCCCCATCCACCCCGTCTATCTATCTATCCCCATCCCCCCGTCTACCTATCTATCCATCCCGTCTATCTATCTATCCCCATCCCTCCGTCTATCTATCTGTCCTCATCCACCCCGTCTATCTATCCATCCCCATCCCCCCGTCTACCTATCTGTCCTCATCCACCCCATCTATCTATCCATCCCCATCCCCCCGTCTACCTATCTATCCATCCCTATCCACCCCGTCTATCTATCTATCCCCATCCCTCCGTCTATCTATCTGTCCTCATCCACCCCGTCTATCCATCCCCATCCCCCCGTCTACCTATCTATCCATCCCCATCCCCCCGTCTACCTATCTATCCATCCCTATCCACCCCGTCTATCTATCTATCCCCATCCCTCCGTCTGTCTATCTGTCCTCATCCACCCCGTCTATCCATCCCCATCCCACCGTCTATCTATCTATCCATCCCCATCCACCCCGTCTATCTATCTGCCCTCATCCACCCCGTCTATCTATCTGTCCTCATCCACCCCGTCTATCCATCCCCATCCCACCGTCTATCTATCTATCCATCCCCATCCACCCCGTCTATCTATCTGTCCTCATCCACCCCGTCTATCTATCCATCCCCATCCCCCCGTCTACCTATCTATCCATCCCTATCCACCCCGTCTATCTATCTATTCCCATCCCCCCGTCTATCTATCTATCCCCATCCCTCCATCTATCTATCTGTCCTCATCCACCCCGTCTATCCATCCCCATCCCCCCGTCTATCTATCTATCTATCTGTCCTTATCCACCCCGTCTATCTATCTGTCCTTATCCACCCGGTCTATCTATATGTCCTCATCCACCCCGTCTATCTATCCGTCCCCATCCCCCCATCTACCTATCTATCTATCCCCATCCCCCCGTCTATCTATCTGTCCTCATCCACCCCGTCTATCCATTCCCATCCCCCTGTCTATCTATCTATCCATCCCCATCCACCCCATCTATCTATCTGTCCTCATCCACCCCGTCTATCTATCCACCCCCATCCCCCCGTCTCTCTATCTATCCGTCCCCATCCCCCCGTCTCTCTATCTATCCGTCCCCATCCCCCCGTCTCTCTATCTATCCACCCCCATCCCTCCGTCTATCTATCTGTCCTCATCCACCCCGTCTATCTATCTGTCCTCATCCACCCCGTCTATCCATTCCCATCCCCCTGTCTATCTATCTATCCATCCCCATCCACCCCATCTATCTATCTGTCCTCATCCACCCCGTCTATCTATCCACCCCCATCCCCCCCGTCTCTCTATCTATCCGTCCCCATCCCCCCGTCTCTCTATCTATCCATCCCCATCCACCCCATCTATCTATCTGTCCTCATCCACCCTGTCTATCTATCCACCCCCATCCCCCCATCTCTCTATCTATCCACCCCCATCCTCCCGTCTCTCTATCTCTCTATCATTGGCTCCTCACCATGGTAACTGCTCTATCTGCAGCACTCATGGCTTAGCTGCATCCTCCCCAGTCTCCCAGGGTGCCCTGAACGTCGTGCCCTGTGCCCCGGTGCTCATGCCCACCCTCTGTCCTGGGGGGTGTGCCCTGGAATGGCCTATGAAAGGACTTTCTTGTCCTCCTGAACCCTTGGCCATGCAGGCTGCCCAACACCAGGAGCAGCTGCCCAGGGCTGTGCTGAGTCATGGTACCAGCCCTCGGTACACCACGCCCCCAGCCCGCTCTCTGGCTGGCCCCCCTGGGGACGTGGGCACTGCCCGCTCTCTGGCTGGCCCCCCTGGGGACGTGGGCGCTGCCTGCTCTCTGGCTGGCCCCCCGGGGACGTGGCACTAACTCCCCTTTCTGTCCCCAGCAGGCAGTGATTACTCTGCGAACGCCTACAGCCATTCCCCCTACTCCACCTACGGTGAGGCCTGGCGCTTCCCCAATTCCAGCCTGCTGAGTGAGTGCCTGGCACGGGATGGGGATGAGGGGGCTCCACTGCATGGGGGGTGGAGGGAAGGGGTCTGCCCAGCTCGCGACTGAGATGAGGGTTCCGTCAAGCCGGGCGCTGCCCAGACTCTGCCCAAGATCAGAGCCCCATCATGCCAGGTGCCACACACACACAAGGGATGGCTCCTGCTCCAGAGCTCCTAAGGTCCCACAGTGGTAGAGGCAGGACTAGAACCCAGGTCCTCAGGATCCTCTCTCAATGCCCCACCCATTGGGCCGCACGGCTTTGCTGCGGGGACACCGGCCACTGGCTGCTTCCTGCTCTTTGTAGCCAGGAGGCCTGGGAGCTGGGAGGGGGTGGGAGATGGGCTCGGGCAGTGGAACCGAGCGGGGGGCAGAGCTCCCGGTGTGGGTTAACCTGTGATGCTCAGTGTGAATGGTTAATTCTGGTGGGGCGGGGGGGCGGGGGGGCAGGCTGACGCTCCCCTCTAACAAGCACTATTGGTCCTGCCCAGGTTCCCCGTATTATTACAGCTCTGCCTCGAGGGCCCCTGCACCCCCCACCGCTGCCTACGACCACCTGTAGCTGCCGTGGGAGCCACGGCACAGGACCCCGGGACGGGCCCGGTGCAGCCAGCCAAAGGCATTGTATTATTACCTGGCGAGAGAGCGGAGCCAGCCCCAACCCCCACAGGGACCGGGAGACACAGCTGCCCTTGGCACCCACAAAACAGCCTTGTGGGAACGTGGGGTGGAGGCATCTGGGTAACGTGGCTCCCCCGGGGGGGGGGGATGGGCAGGGGGCACTCGCCATGAAGATGCCCCCTTAGCACCAGTGATTTGGGGAAGAACAATGGGGTGCCCAGGATACCCAACAATGGGCAGCATTGGCCAGAGCCCCTCCCAGACAAAGGGGGCTGGACAAAGACTTTTGATCATCACATGGCCTCTAGAGACCCAGATCGGATCGAACTGTCTGTCCCCACACACCCCATCTGTCCATCCATCCCCGCGTACTCCCCCCCGTCTGTCTGTCCCCCCCTCTACGGATCTATCCATCCCCATACAACCCCTGTCTGTCTGTCTGTCTGTCTGTCCCCATATATGTCTGTCCCTGTCAGGGAGTCCCTGGGCCATGCTCTGGGACTGCTCCCTACGAAGCCAGGCAGGACTCTGGGGAAGTCTCCTCCCTGGGAGCAGCCTGTCTGCAGGACACACAGCTCACCCAGCTTCCACCTTCCTGGGTCTGACCTCGGAGCATTCAGCATCCTCTGCCCCTCCGTGCGCTTCCCACAGCGAGTCCGCCCAGGCGGGGTCCTGGGGAAGCCAGAGCGTCCTGCCCCCGAACTCCGCAGTCAGACGTGACTCTCAGCCAGCCAGTAAAACAGAAGGTTTATTAGATGACAGGAACATGGCCTAACACAGAGCTTGTAGGTGCAGAGAACAGGACTCCTTAGCTGGGTCCATTTTGGGGGGCAGTGAGCCAGACAACCCCATCTGCCCTTCATTCCATGTCCAGCCAGCCCCAAACTGAAACTCCCTCCAGCCCCTCCTCCTCTGGGCTTTGTCCCTTTCCCAGGCCAGGAGGGTACCTGATTCCTTTGTTCTCCAGCCCTTTAGCTCTCACCTTGCAGGGGGGAAGGGCCAGGTCATCAGTTGCCAGGAAACAGGGTGTTGGCTGTTCTGAGACCCCTGCACACACCTGCCTTCTAGGGCTCTGCAACGATCATACACCCTTATCCCCCCACCTAGATACTTAAGAACTGCATAGGGGAAACTGAGGCACCCCCACACTATTCAGAGGAAACATTAAGAACAGTCCCGCTTCGTCACATCTCTCCCCCCTTCGAGACCGAACTGAGCGGGGTCACTTTAGCCGGTGACCTGGGGAAGTTCGAAGCCATCAACGTTCCCATGGATGCCCCAGCATCTCTCCCATTCCTTGGTGGGAGTTACACCAGTCCCTTCCAGTTTCATGCCCTCCCTTTCGGTCGGGGTTGGTCGATAGCACTCGCAGGCCGCATGTGGGAAGGTTTATGCGGCCCATGCCCTTTGGCCACCCCAAAACCCCTGGGGGTCAAACTGGGATCGGGTCTTCTCCCAGTGCTCCACTCTGGAGGCCTGCAATTCGGGCTCTCTTGGTTAAGAGCCCCCATCTTTACCTGGGCCACATACTGTTCACTTACAGAATCAGCAGGGAGACATCCCTTTCTCAACAACCTTGTCTCCCCAACAAGCTGGCCAAACACAGCCACTTGGTTATAGGACTATTTAACTTTCTTAACAGCTTTCACTCCATCTGAGACCTTCTCAAAACTATCCACACTGGGTCTTTCAACAGGACAGTCAGTGGATCCATTCACAACAGAAAATTTCTGGCTGTTAGGAACTGAAACTTTCTTGATTAAATCACTTTCACACCCTTCAGTTGCAGTAAACTGCTCGCAAAGACTCCATGAGGATTCCTTTCCCGAGCGCTTTTCTATGCAACAATTCACCCCTCCCAGAAATTCTGCTCTTACCCTCTTTACCTAGGGCTTGCCCCAGGAAACTCCACACAGATATATAGGTTGGGGTCAGGAGTGGGAGCCCGTCTACCTCCCCACCCATCTGGCTGACGGCGTCTATGGCCTTGGGACCCAGCAAGGGAGCTAGACACCGGGGCTTTTCCGCAGGGTCCCCCTGGTTCAAATCTCCAGCCTGCTCAAAGGCAGTGAGGTGGCATCCACATCCCCCCCTCCTTAACCAGGGGCAGCAATTTAGTCTCGAGGTTCCCTGCGGAACTGGCCCCTCGGGGTCTATCCCCACTCACCCCTGGGGGGTCCCCTAGGCCTCTCCGCCCCACCACCGCCAGTTCATGCTGCTGCTGCTTCTGCAGCTCTTTCTCGGGCTCTCGCTGTCTCCCACAGTCCTCTTGCTCTCTCGGACTCAGCTCCAATCCCGTCCGTCTCCGATCCCCCGATGGGGAACCCGATCGTGAAGACCCCCGTCTGGTCGTGGACAGGAGTCTTGGGTATGCCTGGCTCCCACTCCAGCTGCTCCCAGATCCTGCTATAGCCCCATCTGGGTCAGGAATCTGCTCCTTAGAGCGGTCATCCCCCTCCAGCTGCACGATTAACTCTGCTTTGGTGACCTTTCCAATGCTCAACCCTCTCTTTCTGCACCGGGTTACAATGTCCTTCTTCAGGAGACGGTGACAGGCCATCACGCCGCTCTTCCCAAGTTGTTGTGGACTCACAGGCCTGTGTGCTCTCAGCTCCCCACGGTTTCCAGGGAGAACCCCTAGTGTGCCAACCCTTCTCGAGGTCACCTCCTCTTTGCCAGGGTCGAGCTGCAGACTCCTCCGCCCCTGAGGCTGCTCACCGCAGTCCCCAGGGGGACCCCATTACTGCACAGTCCTTCTCGCTGGTCACACACACCCAGGGGTTAACCGCCCCCCGAAACCGCTCCTCTCTGAGCCTTCAGCATGCCTGGTCCTTGTCAATCCCACTTTGTTTTACTGCTCCCCAGTGAGTTACTGCAGGAAGTGCCATCCACGGGGTGCAGTATATGCCACCACTGCCACCAGTTGTCACGGAGTCCCCGGGCAATGCTCTGGAACTGCTCCCCACGAAGCCAGTCAGGACTCTGGGGAAGTCTCCTTTCTGTGAGCAGCCTGTCTGCAGGACACACAGCTCACACAGCTTCCACCTTCCTGGGTCTGACCTCGGAGCATTCAGCATTCTCTGCCCCTCCGTGCGCTTCCCCCAGCGAGTCCGCTCAGGCGGGGTCCTGGGGAAGCCAGAGGGTCCTGCCCCCCAACTCCGCAGTCAGACGGGACTCTCAGCCAGCCAGTAACACAGAAGGTTTATTAGACGACAGGAACATGGTCTAACACAGAGCTTGTAGGTGCAGAGAACCGGACCCCTCCACCGGGTCCATTTTGGGGGGCAGTGAGCCAGACAACCCCGTCTGCACTTCACTCCTCGTCCCCAGCCAGCCCCAAACTGAAACTCTCCCCAGCCCCTCCTCCTCTGGGCTTTGTCCCTTTCCCAGGCCAGGAGGGCACCTGATTCCTTTGTTTTCCAACCCTTTAGCTCTCACCTTGCAGGGGGGGAGGGCCAGGCCACCAGTTGCCAGGAAACAGGGTGTCGGCCATTCTCTGTGTCCAGACCCCTTCACACACCTGCCCTCTAGGGCTCTGCAACGACCATACACCCTTATCCCACCACCTAGATACTTAAGAACTGCATAGGGGAAACTGAGGCACCCCCACAATATTCAGAGGAAACATTATGAACAGTCCCACTTCGTCACAGTCCCCATACACTCCTCTTCTATCTGTCTGTCTGTCCACACCCCTTGTCTGTCTATCCCCACACCCTATCTATCTATCTATCTATCTATCTATCTATCTATCTATCTATCTCCACCCCCCCCCCCCCATCTAGCTATCTCTCTATCTGGAGCTCGCTCTCCCCCACAGCCCCATGACCTGAGGACTGGCTCTGGGACCCTGCTGAGCTGCTCTGCTGTGTTTCTCACCAGCCCCTTTCCCACCACAGGCTTTATTTTCTGCTCCCCTCTTGCTGGCCGTCCAGCCATGCTGGGCTGGTGGCAGGACCTTCGATGCCCAGCTGGGCCCCATTGGTATCCAAGCCCTGGAAAGCACTGTTTGTTGAGGCTTGCCCTGCTGGGCTGGTGTTTGCCAGCGGCTGGGGAGGGGCAATGCACCCAGGGGAAGCCCAGCTCCCTCCTGCCAGCCTGGCCCCTGCTCCATGGGCAGTGCCAGCTGTCCCCATGGCGCTGTAGACGGGCATTCCAGCCCCCCAGGGACCACGCACATTGCTAGGTCTCCATCCCAGCCTCACTTTGCTTGTGTATAGACTGTACATCAGCCCCCTCCCCTGGTGGGGCGCGGGGAAGCCCCCTCTAATTCTCCTCTTTCGCTCTCTCCCCTTTGGATGCTCCTGCTTTTTATTAAAGGTTCAATAAACCCGTTGTCCTGGCGTGCCAGGCATGCCAGCATGAGCCGGCAATGGTGTGTGTGGTGTCCTACCTGTCCAGCCCCTGCAGGGATGGGGGAGATCTGCCCCTGCAGGGGGCTGGGGAGGGCGTGGGGCTGAGGCAGCGCACTTGGCAAGGCATGCTACGGTGCCCCCAGAGGAAGGGCAGGTGCAGGGACAGGATGGGATTCACACGCCTCCTGGCTGAACTTCAGCAGAGGAACTCCCTGCTCCAGCCGAATTCGCACTGTGGGCTCCAGCTCCTGCGTTACAGCAGTGGGGGTGCCCCCCCCCCATATCTGCGCTAGCCCCGACTCATTGTGGCTGCAGCGAGAGCTGCATGACTGGCTATGTACAGCGTGTGACAGCACTTAGCGGCCAACCTGCTTTGGGCCCCATTGCGTCAGGTGCTGTACCAACCCCAGGGCCGTAAATCCCAGCCCCAAGGAACTGGCAGTCCTGCCCTGCCTCCCCCTGCTTGGCCCCTCCTGCCCCGCTTTCCACAGCACCTCCTGCTGGGACTGGAGTAGCTGGGAGCCCCACCCCCAGCCAGTGATCAGAAACCAGGGCTTTCGACTGAGCTATGGTTGTGCGTACTCTGAGCAGGAGAAGGATCCACAGTCACCCCGGCTGTCCTAGGGACACTATGCCGTGCCCTGAGACGGCAGCAGGAAAGAGCCAGATCTGTCTCCTGCTTCAGAAACCCAGGGATTGAGACCCTGAGGTAACAGAGAATCCCCCTCCGCTGTCAGCAGGACAGGGCCAATGACGCAGAGGTGTGAAGTTCTGGGGCCATCCTGCAGAGGGCAGTGGTGTTCACACACACCCAGTGCAGGACAATATTAACCATTTATTGCCTGAGGACAGTGCAGGCTGCCAGGGGCACCATGGTGAGGGCCCACAACACAGGAAGTTTGCCATGGCCAGCTGCAGACGCCCATGGTCCAGGCCAGAGAGAGCTCCCGAAGGGTGACACTGAGCAGCACCAGCTGGGACCTGGGGAGCCCAAAGGAACTCCAGGGTCTGGCTGAGCCCAGCAGCCTTGACAGAGACACCTGCACCCCCCTTTGCTTCACCAGAGCCCAGCCCCGAAACCGCCACCCCTGCTGAGCTGGGACTGAGATCCCATGTACCCCGTGCTGCATCCAGCCCCTGACCTCCCACGGGCAGAGAGAGACATGTGGTGGCCACGGTCAGCAGCTCCCAGCAGCGAGCGAGGCAGCCGCATTGTGCGGAGGTTGGTGGAGCAGGGAGACGCCAGGGCAGTGTTTTCCCAAGTGCTCGACTCCGATGTAACATTTCGTTAGTGGTTTGATTCTGGCCTTTGACCAAACCCAGGGTTTAATGGACCCCTCCCCCACCCCCGCAAACTCCACCCCGCAGGCTTTGGGCTCCAGTCCGCCGGGTCTGGGCCAGCCCAGGGCAGTATGGAGCAGATGCTGGCCCTGCCCACAGGTCACAGCCTGTGGCCACAAGGCAAAGCCATGGTCCCAGGTGGAGCCCTCCACGATGGACGCAGATCCCCAGTTCGGGGGGAATCCCAAGAGCACACAGCTGGGGCACAGGGGGTGAAGGTTGGGGGCAGTGGGTGGGGGGAGGGGCTCACCCCACACCTCTTTGGCAGAGAGAGGCTTCGGTGTCCAGGGACCAAACAACGCTGCATCTCTGGCCAGCACCAAATGTATGCAACAATGGAAGGCGAGGAGCAGCCGCCTGGCGTGAGCAGCGGGGAACCCATCCGGGCAGCCCAGGCTCCAGGGCCTGCTGATGCTGGCAATGCGCCCAGGGACAGCCCATGAAGCACTGGGTCTGCTAAGGGCGAAGTAAAACCCGGAGGCTGCCCCCGAATTTCAAGGCTCTCTGATGTAAAGCCCCCAGGCCCTGTTCCTATTAACAAGAGGCCAAAAATATGCCACCAGGAGCGTGATTTTTTTTTAAGTTGATGCTGTCCCTTTAAAGGTCAATCTATTGCTACAGCTGCCCTGGGTGCGCCCTGGCTGAGGTCAGGGTGCCGGGGCATCGGGTGCGGTATAAACATACACCAGCATTCAAAAATCATGTCAGACACTCAACCCTCCCCCCCGCCCCCAAAACCAACCCAGGAGATTGGCTTAAACACTCACAGGATTTTAAAACCATAATAAATGCGGGGCTGGCACCTTTTTGGGGCGACCACCAGAGTGAGAAACCCGCATCCCGCCATGATTTGAAGTCACATGAATCTGAGGCAAATCCCAAGCGGCATGAGACAAGGGAGAAAACTGCCAGAGTTGAGGAGCCTCCACAGGGCAAGAGACAGCCCCTCCCTCCAAGCACGGACGACTGAAATAGGCAAGGCAAAGGCAAGAATATTATTCCCATTGTACACATGGGAAACTGAGGCCCCAGACAGACCAAGGTCCAGATCCTCTCAGGAATTTAGCCACCTAACAGCCATTGAAATCAGAGGAAGTTTGGCTGGGCCAGGATCCCACGGGGTGTCCATGGCAGAGCCGGCAGCCAAACAAAGAGAAGGTTAAGGGGGGACTTGATTAGTCTGTCACCTACACGGGGATTTCATAAGGGGCCCTTCAGTCATGTCCCACACTCCGACAGCTGGGAGTTGAAATGCGACCGAGTCAGACGGGAAGTAAGATGTAAATGTTTAACAGGGAGGGGAATTGACCGCGGGGCAGCAGTGGGTCTCCGTCACTGTCCAGTTTTAAATCAAGCGTGGCTGTTTTGCTCCCAGGAATGATTGTGCAGCAGGTCCCTGGCCTGTGCTACTCAGCTGACCACAGTGGTCCTTTCCGGCCCTGGAATCTCTAACCACTAGCCTGGCCTTCCTCTGCAGAAGGCCCGTTATCAGCTGCAGCCCAAGGAAGCAGTTTGCTGTGACTCTCGCTGGGTTTGGAGCACGCTGGATGGGAGCTAAGCTGCCGAGAACAGCTGGGCAGGGGGAATGCCTCCTGGCTGTTAGTGGTTTATGCTCATCAGCTATAAAATATTACAGTTCTCTCTCCCAGCCTGTTACCTTTAGCGCAGATTTAGCTGTCGCTCTGTGAAAACTGACGGCGCCCCAGCAGCAGGAGAGGAGAGAGATTTATCCTGCTGCTGAGAAAGATGGAAAAGGATTCGGGGGGGGGGGGGTTGTAGTGAGTGAGGAGAATGACCCATTGGTGAAATAGGCTTTTCCAGAAAATGAGAAAAAGCTAAGCTGGGCCTCAGGACACCTGACTTCTAGTCCCAGCTCTCCTGTTGGCCTGCTGGGTGACATTGGGCAAGTCACGTCCCCTCCCTGTGCCTCGGTTTCCCCATCAGTTGAATGGGATTCATGACACTGCCCTCCCTGGTGAAGAGC